GGGGCGGGGTTCAGCTCCAGAGTGAAGGGGGTAGTTTCTGACTCAGTCCAGACTCGGAAGCCCTGGAGGGGTCAGAGGGCACCAGGGAGCTTTTCCCCACCCTCCTGGTAATCCCAGTTGCTGGCTGGGAGCACTTAGCTGGAGCTCCCTTGGGTTGCTGTGCTTTGAGATTTGTTTGCTTCCAGTGTTGTGAAATTCCTCTGGTTTGTTCGTGGAAAGCTTGGGCTAGTGACATCTGCCAAGGAATTCTGACTTTCCTCTTCCTAGAAGTGATGCAGAAAAAGCATTGTTGAGGAATAGGGTTTTTTTTTTTTTTTTTTTTAAGTAGACATTTATGTTAAGCCTGTTAAGCCAAGTGGATGTTGTAATTCCATAAGCTCTGTGTGGGCACCTACTTTGTGCCCTGTTGGAAAAAGACAAGGATGCTGTAAGTCTGTAATGGGGTGGACAGAGATGTACATGGACACGAGTGAAATCGGGTGCGGGAACAGTCGGGGAAACCTTGGGCCCGTGGCTTACTCACAGGGCACCTCCCGGCTTTGCCAGAGCCTGCCTTGCTGGCCAGTCTTACGTAGCATGATATAACTCTTGAACAGCCAGGTTTCACAGCACACCTGTAGCTTCCTTCTAGGAAGGAAAGTGCCATAGGGACCCCTAACTCTTGAACAGCCAGGTTTCACAGCACACCTGTAGCTTCCTTCTAGGAAGGAAAGTGCCATAGGGACCCCAGCCCTGGGCACTGTGAGTCTCACTCAGAAGTAAGCAGACATCTATGTACGGCTACTATAGCCAGCATCTGGCTTTTCACTGCTTGTGGGCCCTACGCCCTCTAATTGCTTTGTGGCAAAGGGATGTTGACATGAGCTGTCAGCAGGCTCCAGTGGGGTGCGGTTTGGCATGAGGTACTCCTGGCTGAGCCTGGCCTTCCTCTCGGGCTTGCCCCAAATTGCTGGGCAGCAAGAGGGTGTCCAGAGAAGTTTGAGATGATGCTCCTCTCTATTCATCCTGTTTCCCTCCCACTCTTAAACTTACAGCTCTACCCTATCCCTTTATTTTTCTTTGTTGAGTCCTCTGAATTTCTGTGTCCCATATCCACTCGGAATCCCACAGGGACCCCTAGCCCCTGACCCTGCCTCTGCTGTCTTCCCTTATGGGACTTAGTCTTTGAAAAAAACTGGGAAGAAAGTGTGCCAAGATGCTGTATGGAACAGGCCAGCTCCATTTGCTGGTTAATTTCTATACCTTGACTGAGTGCCTCCCTGAGCCATCCCATGGAGACAGGCATTAGGAATAGTAGATGCAGCTCAGTCTTGCAGCTGCTGGTCAGGTGAAGAACCAGATCAATTTAGATTGCTGGCAGGTGCTCAGGATGGAAGCTAAGTCCCTGCTGACCACATGCAGGTTCACACTGATGTCAAGTTGCCGGGTTTCTATCCCTTCCCTGGTCACATCTTTCCCAGAGGCTACTTTCTTATGAAAGATGATTCGCGTCTTGCTTTCCACCTGGCCCTGATCCCCAGAGATATCAAAGAGGCTTGATGGGGCTGTTGTACAAAGTGGGATGTGTTTGAGCTAGGAGGGGCCCTGCAGGCCACCTAGTGCAGCCCCACCCCCCCCATTTCACAGGCAGGAAATGGGAGGGAGGCTGAAGGCAGGTCAGGAGGTGGGACCTGTTGACTCAGGTCATGCTTTTCTGTTGACAGTGCCTCCTCCCCACCACCCTGGTCCTCGACCTCCTCTAAGATTATCATCTGGGCTCCTTGGGTGCCTGTGGGACAATCCCCATGGTGGGACAATTCCCAGGGGCCCACCGTCTGTTCGCTCCCCTGCCCCAGGGCTGTCCTCACTGCCCACCCCTCACTTATCTGGCTCATTCTTGCCATGGTCACTGCTAACATCACCTGTCTTCTCATCCGCTCATTCTTAGTGCCCACTGCATACCAGGAGCATACTAGAGCAGCAAATCCGCAGAGAGAAGCCCACACCTGTCCCTGTGGAGTGCTCCGAGGGGATCTTTCTAACCCCTGTCTCCCCCTTTCTCTCCTCAGGGACTGGCCATCCTGGGCCCACCCAGGGGTGCAGTTTCCCCCTTGGTCATTTACTGCCTGTCCTACCCAGGGGCTGCCCAGGATGGTCTATCTTCAAGTGTCTAGGCTTGGCCTGGTCTCTGTTCTTGAACCCATGACCCCCATCAGGTGGTCACCAGGGTGGATGGGTCTCTGACCACACTGGTTGGATCCTTGTTGGGTTCTTGCCCATCCCTGGCCAGGCCACCATTCCCTTGTTCTTGTCTAGCCACTTGGTCTCACCACTTGCCTCACTCTGTGCTGGGGGCAGAGACACTAGCCATACCAGGCTGCATTGCCATCCCCTAGTCTGCTCATTGTTGGGCCTAGCCTCTGCTGCAGCCCTGGGGGCACTCAGCACCTGTCTCACAGCCTGTCTGGGAGGGGCAGTTAGCATTTCCCCACTCTACCCCCTGGCTCCAAAACTGCTCACCCTCCTTCTGAAAAAAGCGCAGTCACTTTCCTTTCCCAAGCCTCTTCCCTTGGTTCCAATCCCTCCCTGAGCCAACCTGATGTCCTTTCTCCTGACTTGGCTCAGGTGTGTCCAGCCTGGGCTGCCGCACCAGGCTACTCAAAAGGGACGAGCACCCAATCAAGCAGCCTGGCATTCGGTCTTGAGACCTGCACCCTGACTGTCCATGGCAAGGGTGCCCACAGCCCAAGGAGACACCACCCATAGTGGATTGGTGTTGACCTCTGAAAGGAGGGCGCTGGAGCAGGGAGGCGGTATGACAGGGTGTCCCGGTACAAGTTTCCTCTGGGGAAGGAAGTTGTTCCTCTGCTGAGTCTGTTGGGCTTAGATGCTTCTTGGCAGCCTTGGGGGATCCTTCACAGGCTCTTGCCTGGGCACCTTGCAGGCTCTTAAGTCTGCCTTCTGTGTTGCCTCAGAATAGCTAGGACACCAAGTCTGGCAGGTAGCTCCTCCAGGAGCATCCTGCCTGGGTCGTGGCCCTATGCCTGTGAGTACCTATCCCTGGGCAGGATGCAGGAGGAACTAGGGTCTGGCCTAGAAAGGCATTCTTGGGTGGGGTCGTAAGGCAGGATTGGGCATGGGCTTGCCCTAGGAGGCACATTTCTTAAGCCAGCTTGAGGCTCAGGCCTGAGGATATGCCGGGGAGGGGTGTGGAGGGTGACCCTTTGGTGGCAGAGCCATGACTTCCTCCTGAAGACATGGGAGTGCAGCTACAAAGAAGCAGCCATCCGAGCTCAGTGTGTGAGCCTCTGCCTTGCCAGACTTGAGGACAAGGGGAAGAAAGGCCTGTTGGGGTCCTGCTTAACCCTGGCCCCCAGAATGGGAGTGGCTGGATCACGATGCCTCCCTTGTGCTACTGTGGGGATGGAGTTGGAGGCAGGCTTGGATGTCAGCCTGCCCCTACCTCTAGGGTGTTCTCAGAAGCAGAGGCTGAGCTCCCTGGCTCCTCCCCAGGGAACCAATTTTGACTACCCTACTGCTTGGGGACAGCCAGCCCTGTGCTTTCCCAAGTTCATGACCATTCTGGTCCCAGACATCCTTCCTGGCTGAGCTGAAACATAATAGGAATGACCTTAGTGTGGCCTTCCCCAAAGTGAAGATGAATCGTCCTGTTTCCCTACCACCACCATGTGTGCTGTTGAGGACTCTGAGCTGAGGCAAGAAACCAGTTCCAGACTCGGGGGACAGTGGTGGAGCAGGAAGGAGCACGGAGGAGAGGAGATGGGCTGGTGTGGTCTTGGTCCAAGGGAGGGGGGCTGGGTAGAGAACGAGGGAGCCCTGGAGGGAGCAGTGCCCTGTTGGTTCAGAGGGGAGGCCTGGGCACTAGGACAGGGGTCTGGTTGTCGTCAGGGTCTGTGGCAGGGCCAAGTAAGCACAGCAGGCTTTACCTGAGAGTGCTGGAGACCCCTGAGGAGCCACTGGGCTGTGGAGGTTTCCACGTCCATCCCCATCCAGTGCACACTACCAGCTCATCCCTTTCGTGCCCCTAGACAGCCAACAGGCAGGAAGCTGGCCAAGAACAGCCAGGGCCATGACTGAATCTTGTGGAGGAGCCCCTCTCCTGTGCAATCATGGAAACATCGTGGGTAGATGCAGGGTGGCCAGGTCTTGACACACAGTCACCTGATATGTCCTGGCCTAGCAGCATTTGTTTTTTCTTTAGCTGCTTCTTGGACTCTGTCTCTCCCCATGAAAACCGTCCTATGCTCAGCCCTCATGTGATTAAACCCTGGTTTGCCTAGATGTTTGCTCCCTGTCATTGCTCCTTGGGGTCACTGCCCCTGGGGTACAAGTTTGGTTGTGAATGAGTGAGGAGCCAGCTGCCCCCCTAGTGGCAAGGCCAGGTGTTGCATCTGTCAAGGCAACCTCAAGTTGGCCTGGCAGAGGGTGCTGGGCCTGCCTCTGGCCTCCCAGAAGGGGCCCTGAGTACTTCCCTTTCTTCTCAGACTGACAGTATCCTCCAGTGGGCATCCACACTGATCACCAAGTCCTCTCACTTTTGGTTCTAGGTGGTCTTCGGGAAGAAGCTTCCCGCCTTCGCCACAATCCCCATCCACCAACTGCAGCATGAGAAGAAGTATGACATCTATTTTGCTGATGGGAAAGTGTTTGCCTTGTATAGGTAAGAGAGAATGCCTCAACCTGGGCTTGTAGGATCTGTGCCACTCTGTGGCAGGGGTGGGTGTATCCCCGTTACCTCCTGTGCTCACAGTTTTCAGGAGGGTGGGGGCACTTGGTGTGGCACAAATGTCAGGGCCATGTGGCTGGGCTCCTATTTTTAGTTTTCTCTCCTGTAGCTGGGGATGCTTACAGCACTCCTCATGAAGCAGTGGTAGAGATGGGTGGCAGGGGTGAATTCAGAGAAAGAGCTCCTGGTATAGCACATAGCACCTGCTTTCTGGGTCCCTTTGAGGTGCATGTGAACTCCTGCAAGGCATGCTCTTGGCCCATGGTACGAAAACTCCATGAAGGGGTACAGTTGTCATGGGTATGGTCCTCATCTTCCAGGTGAGGGGTGGCCCCCGTGTAGACTCATCATTATGTCCACCTGACGCAGGGTTCTGTCTCCCGGATCATGGACCCAAACCCATCCTGTGGCCTTGTTTAATCTGGGCCCTGTTTAATCTGGCCTTGTTTAATCTGGGTGGGGAGCAGCTCCTGACCCTGGGTCCAGCACTGTCTGACTCAAAGGTCGGAGCCATGGTGGGCATGGGTGGGAGTCCCTTCCCTGGCTTCTCCCAGGACATCTACAGGGGTGTGGAACAAGGGGCCACGGGGAGTGCCAGTGCTCACTCCTGATGGTGACACTGAGTGCTTGAGGGGGCGGGTGGCTCTCGGTGTCTCCCAGGCAGCTGTTGCACCACGAGTGCCCAAGGTGCCCTGAGCTACCGCCCTTCGGCCTCTTCGGGGACCTGGAGCAGCACATGCGGAAACAGCATGAGCTCTTCTGCTGCAAGCTGTGCCTCAAACACCTCAAGGTGTGCCCCTACCCCCAACAGTACCCACTTAAGGGTCTCAGGAACCCAGGGAGTCCTGGGTGGAGGTGGATGGTGACCAAGCCCTATGCGGCATGGGCTCAGCCAAACAGCTGTGAGAGGCTGGTTGCTGCCTCTCACCCTGGTCAGGCCAGACCCCTGAAGCCTCCTAGCATCCCCCAGCTCTCTTGTATCATAGAACCTTGCGGGGGCGGGGGGTGGGAGGGGAGGCTGGGAATCAGGCTGCATACAGCCCAGACAGGGAGGGCCTCCCAGTGATTGTGTGGGCCTGCCAGGCTCCTGGTGTCCAGGGACTCTCTCCACTGTCTGGCCATGGGAGGGGATGGGAGGCCTGGGAGCCTGAACCCTGTGCCCAGTTACCCATTCCCCACAGATCTTCACATATGAGCGCAAGTGGTACTCACGCAAGGACCTGGCACGGCACCGCATGCAGGGGGACCCTGATGACACGTCGCACCGCGGGCACCCACTCTGCAAGTTCTGTGATGAACGCTATCTGGACAATGACGAGCTGCTCAAGCATCTGCGTCGAGACCACTACTTCTGCCACTTCTGTGACTCGGATGGGGCCCAGGACTACTACAGGTGGGTGCAGGACAGCCCCTAGAACACCCAAAGCAGGTTGGGCAGAAGCTACTGGCTAGGGTGGTAGGACTGACAAGGCTCTTGCTGACACTCCACCAGCGACTACGCCTATCTTCGCGAGCACTTCCGGGAGAAGCACTTCCTGTGCGAGGAGGGCCGCTGCAGTACTGAACAGTTTACCCATGCCTTCCGCACTGAGATTGACCTCAAGGCGCACAGAACGGCCTGCCACAGCCGGAGCCGTGCCGAGGCCCGCCAGAACCGCCAGATAGACCTGAACTTCAGCTACACGCCACGGCACTCACGCCGGAACGAAGGTGAGCAGGGCGCCCCTTCTTCAAAGCAGGGTTCATGTTGCCCTGCTTTAAAGGCCTCAGACCCAGATCCTGATCCGACCTTCGTGTGTCAGCGGAGACAAGGGACACACACATGTTGAACCTGCATCTCCTCTGAGCATGTTGTGACTGTAGGGAGCTCTTCACCCTGGCTGATTCCAGCAGCATCTCGGGTCTGTGTTCTGGGGTCCCTGGGACTCTTCCCCAAGGTCGGAGGATTATTCAGTGCCTGCTTTGTGTGGGTCCCCTGAGGCTATATGGTCAGCAGGCCCAGGCCCCTCTCTAAGCCCACTTCTTTCTCTGACCTGGTGCCTATGCCTTAAAGGCCTGGGGTTGGTATGGACCCCTCGAGGTATCTGAACCCATCCCCTGGGCTCACATGCTGGGGGGGCGCAGAGAAGTCTCTGTTGTCCAAGCCAGCTCACTGGCCTCAGTCTGGCTTGGGCCCATGACAGGCTATGTGCTGGCCACAGGGATTGTCAGTGGTGAGGACTATGAGGAGGTGGACAGGTACAACCGCCAGGGCCGTGCAAGCCGGGCCAGTGGCCGTGGAGCCCAGCAGAACCGCCGAGGAAGCTGGAGGTACAAAAGGTGGGAGGATTTGTATGCCACCAATATTTTCCTGGTGCCGCCCCTCAGGCAGTGGCAGTGGCCCGAAGCTAGGCTGGGAACAAGCATGGGGACTCTGTCCTTCTGGCATCTGGTGTGCTGGGTATGGCAGCCAGGCTGTTCAGTGTCCTCAGTGAACAGATGTTTCCTCCTCTTTCCTCTAGTTTCAGCCAGACACACCAGGACCTGTAGATTGGGGTGGGTGAGAAGGGCCTGTGTCATTTGTAGGTTTATTGCAGTTGTGCTGGGTGAAGCACTAGTGTGACAGGCACATTATTCAGTGCCTGCCCCCAATGCTGATGCCAGGCAGGATCCAGGTATTTGCTGACCCCAAATGCTACCTCAGAGCATTGGGCCAAGGTACTGCCCACAGCTACATCCTGAGGGGTGGTGGGGCGGGGGCGGTAGGGGGCAGGGTGGAGCAGACTCCTGCTACTCCACAAGTGCTCTCTCCTGGCCAGTGAGGGTGGACCAGCACCAAGTCTGCTGGCCCCAGGCCTGGCTCCCTGCAGCCTCCTGGTGTCCAGGCTTCCTGGGAACAAGGCCCTTCCCCAGCCCCTTGCTCTGCACACTGCTGTAGTCTCGGGCCTTGCCCAGCCTAAAGGCTTCCCCATCCCAGGGAAGAAGAGGACCGAGAAGTGGCAGCTGCCATCCGGGCCTCGGTGGTCACGCAGCAGCAGCAGGAGATGCACAGGAGTGAGGACCGAGAGGAGGGCAGCAGGCTCAAGAAGGAGGAGGCAGGGGTGCGGGGGCCAGAGGAGCCCCGGGGGCCCCGGCGCCTACCTCGGACTCAGGGTGAAGGCCCAGGTGAGCTGGCTTTGCCTGCAGGCAGTTCTGCCTGGGCCTGAGAGCCACCTGAGCGGCTCCTTGGTCATCTCCTGGAGAGCCTACTCCCACCCCCTCAACATTGGTTGGCCCTGACATAGGATCCTTTTGTGTCTTGTAGGCCCCAAGGAAGCCTCAACAAATGGTCCTGTAAGCCAAGAGACCTTCCCAACCACCAGCCCTGCCTCAGGGGCCACACTTCCAAGGTACACGTATACACGAACTGGGGCCAGGATGCAAAGCTCCTACAGAGGGCGGGTATGGGACAGGCCAGGGCTTGGCAGGCCACTGACTCCTCTTCCCTCCCTGGGCTCAGCACCCTCCTGCCCCCCACTTTGAAGCTCAAGGACGAAGATTTCCCCAGTCTCTGCACCTCCGCTTCCTCCTGCTCTGCAGCAGCAGGCCTGGGCCCTATGGGGCTGGCATTGGCATACCCTGTTCCCATCAGAAGCAGGAGCACTTTCCAGGAGGATGACTTCCCTGCCCTGGTGTCTTCCACCTCCAAGCCCAGCACTGCCCCCACCAGCCTTATCTCTGCCTGGAACAGCAGCAGCAGCAGCAAGAAGGTGGTACAGCCCACCTCAGGGGCCCAGGCTACCAGCGGGGGCAGCCAGCCTCCCAGGAAGGCTGGGAAGGGAGGCAAGGGCAGCAAGAAGGGTGGGCTGCCTGTCACAGAGGAGGAGGAAGAGGAGGACAGCTGCATCAGCCTCACTGCCCCGGAGCTTCGGAGTGGGCCCACCACTGTCGCTGTCTCCTCCCTGCTGGCGCTGGCCTCCACCCAGACCTTCACCAAAGTCGGCAAGAAGAAGAAGGTGGGCTCTGAAAAGCTGGGTGCCGCATCACCCCCGCCATTGCTCCCTGACAAAAATGGCCCCCCTGGGGCTGAGCAGGCCCCCCCGGTCCCCATAGGCAGAGCCGAGGGGCCAGTTGCTGTCATCGTCAATGGACACACAGAAGGATCGACCCCAGCTCGGAGTGTTGCCAAGGAACCCCCTGGGCTCCCACGGCCCCTGGGGCCCCTCCCCTGCCACACGCCCCAGGAAGACTTCCCAGCACTAAGCAGCTCCTGCCCACCCAGGATGCCCCCTCCCCCAGGTAGGTGCACCTGGCTCATGCTTGCATCTGGGCGTCCGGGAAGGAGCTGGGGTTGTAGAGTCAGGATGGCACCCCCAGGGCCCAAGATTGTGTAGTATAGATAGCCACAAGACCTGGGTGGGGAGAGATGAGCTTGTGCAGTGGTTTCCAGCTGCTTCAGAAGCTTAGAAGTCAGGACATGGGCACCACCATCTGTGAACAGTGTGACCTTGGTCCTCCATTTAACCTTTTTGTGTCCCCTTCTTCCCTGTAAAATGGGGGCAATCCTAGCCCCTCCTCAAGGTCGGGACAAACAAGTTAACTTAGGCCAGGATTTGCCATGAGGGAGCACAGCATGTGTGCTGGCTCTGGGCATTGTCGGGCCCTTGGGCTCTTGGCCTGCTCTTGATGGGAGGTGGTCTATGGATGGAAACCTGACCCGGGTGAGCTGGGTAGCCTGTGAGAAGCGAGGGATGAGGCCTGGCCATCCCTGGCCATCCAGGGTTATGTTCTGGGTCTTGGTGTGCTGCCCCCGCAGGCTTCAGCACTGTGGTGCTCTTGAAGGGCACTCCACCCCCACCACCGCCGGGTCTTGTGCCCTCCGTCAGCAAGCCGCCCCCTGGCTTCTCTGGCCTTCTGCCCAGCCCCCACCCAGCCTGTGTCCCCAGCACTACCACCACCACAAAAGCGTAAGTGTGGCGGGCTGCCTAGCCTTGTGCCCCTGGGCGCCAGGGGAGAGTGCTCTCAACCTTGAACTGTCTCCAAAACTGAAGCCTCCACCTCCTCCTGGTCTCCCCAACCCCCAGACCCAGGCTGACACCAGTGCCACAGGCCTACCTGGTCCCTGAGAACTTTCGGGAGAGGAATCTGCAGCTCATCCAGTCCATCAAGGACTTCCTGCAGAGTGATGAGGCCCGCTTCAGTGAATTCAAGAGCCACTCGGGGGAGTTCAGACAGGTCAGGCTGGTGGGGAGAGGGGGGCCAGCCCACCACCTGGGGTCCAGGCCTGGGCTAGGTGTGACGGCCTGGTTCTGGGTGGCAGGGTGTGATATCTGCAGCCCAGTATTACAAGAGCTGCCGGGACCTGCTTGGGGACAACTTCCAGAAGATCTTCAACGAGCTGCTGGTGCTCCTGCCCGACACAGCCAAGCAGCAGGAGCTGCTGTCTGCACACACAGACTTCCAAGGCCGAGAGAGGCCTCCCGGCACCAAGGCCAAGAAGAAGAAGAATGCATGGCAAGCCAGCACCTGGCAAGCGGGCCTGGACTGCTGCGTGTGCCCCACCTGCCAGCAGGTGCTCGCACATGGTGACGTCAGCAGCCACCAGGCTCTGCACACTGCCCGGGACGATGACTTCCCCTCCCTGCAAGCTGTTGCCAGGACCCTCACGTAGCTCTTGCCAAGTAGGCAGAAGCGGCCACACTCATGAGCCTCCTTTCTCCCTGGTCCTCCTAGGCTGCCAGGCAGCCAGGTAAGGCCCTGTTGAGGCCACCTGCTCAGGCCCCTCAGTTGGCCAGTCTGCCAGGGGTCACAAGGACAGCCCACCCTGCTGTGTCAGCACAGTCAGGCAGGAGTCCATCTGGTTTTCTTCTGGAAACTGGGCCAAGACTCCTGCCTCAGTGGCGGGCCAATCCTGGTTTGTATCTCATGCCTTTGGAAGGTGCCAGGGGAGAGAAGGGCCGGGATGCAGAGACCTGTCTGTGCTGTCAGACCCCGTGGCCAGATCTAGGACCTACTGAGTGAGCCTTAGCACCATGGCCCGAAGCTGTGGGTCCACTGGTGCTGGAGCCAGATTTTGAGTGTGTTGTATAAACAGTTGGCTGTTTCATGATTCAAGAATGTTCAGGATTAAAAGCAGACACAAAATTGTGCTACTTGAAGTTAAATCTTTCTACGAGACAAGCTGAATCTGGGATCTCAAATTGCCTCTGACCTTTTATAAAAGTTTATCTTCAAATAAATTTATTTTGCAATAATGCACATAGCTGGTGTTTTGAGCTTCTCTGCCTTCTGAGGTTGCCCAGCAGCAAGGGAGGCTCAGTCTTTAGATGCTACAGCTCAGGCAGTCAACCAGTGAGCACTGGAGTGGAAGAAGGCCTATAGGGAGAGCTGGGCAGCTGGGCTTCGCTCACAGGGAGTGGCAGCCTGGAGCCCTGCTCCTTGAGGACTGGCACTACCCAGTCTTCCAGGAGTAGTCACAGCCATACTTGACCCATACTTTGTACCCAGTAAAACTATTCATCCAGAGGCATAGACACAAGGTTTACATTCATAGATGTGTGAAAGAACTACTGAAGGTGAACCTCGACAAGAACAATTTAGAAACAGTGGGGAAGAATAAAATAATTTGTGTTTAATTATTTGGATCTAGTATTTTAGAAGGGGACCAGACACACTGAAATCTCCCTTTTCTGCCCCAAACACATATAGATAGAAAAAAAATTCTAAACACATAGCCACATCCAAATAAGACAAAGGAAACATCTGTAGATGAGAAGAAATGATGTCTTTCTAAAACAAACAGAAGCGGGTATCCATGGTGATGAAGGAGCCAAAGTCAGTGGCCTACGTGGGGGGCAGGTGGGAGGCACATGGCTGCACTGCCACTGCCCACCTGAAGCTGAGGACCTAGACAGTGCTGCTTGACTGGCCGTGGCTGGAACTAGAGTGATGTCCCTGGGTGATGGAGAGGAGAGCCTCCACTCTTCACCCTCCATTGAGCTGTCAGGCTGCAGAGAGGCCACCTGCATTTCCTACCACACGAGAAGTACCTCATAGCTGATGCCCTCTTTGCAGACCTGAGCACAACCAACCCACAGAAGAGTAAGCTGGAAACTGGAATATCTTAAGGATGTTGCAAATACCTATTAAGAAACAAAACCCATAATAGTACTATGTGACACTTAAGTAGTTCTGGTTGTGTGACAAGCACTGCTTTGAGCTCTTTACATGTGTTACCATTAACGTGTATACACGTATTATCACCCCACCCTATGTGATAGGAACTATTATCTTTTTTTTTAAATGCCTACAGCACCTGGTCTTCCTAGGTGGTCTCCCATCCAAGTACTAACGAGGCCTGACCCTGCTTAGCTTCCGAGATCAGATGAGATCGGGCACTTTCAGGGTGGCATGGCCATAGACTGAACTATTATTTTTATAGATGGAGAACCTGAGGCACAGACAAGTTGAGAAACTTACCCAAGATGACCAAGCTTGAATGTGGCAAAGCCAGCATTCCAGTTCCAGAGATGGTTCTTAACTGCTTCACTCAACCAGATTACTAACCGATTAGAAACTTTAGAAATGAAAAACTGAGATAAAAACCCCAATAGTTGAGAGCCAACTCAAAAGTAAACAAGACCGAGCTGGGAAAATCTCTAAAGGGGAATTGGTCATGGAATGTGGTTCTGGAAGCTCTACACCTGATGGAGGTCCCAGGAGCAGAAAGGGGTGAGAAAGGGATATTTGGAGAAATCATGACTGCTTTCCCCAGGCACTGAAGAAAGATAAATGAGCACTAAGCAGGATAATTTTTCAGCCACATCTAGACACACAACTTCAAAAAAATTTTAAAACTTACCAAAAAGAAAAGATAACCCACAAAGGAATGCAAATTGTACTGTTATCAATGCTCTCACTCACAGTGGAGGATCCTAAAATAGAAGTACCTTTAAAGTTCTAAGGAAAATTACTTATCATTTATATACCCAGTAAACCTATCCTTTAAGAATGCGAGTAATATGGAGATTCAAAGTGTACAACCATTGACTCATGAAAGAACTACTAAAGATACACTCCCACAAGAAACATTTAGTACTCTTGCTATTATAAAAGGAATAAATGAGATGGAGATCTCAACATTTCAGAGTGCCTGCTCTGACCAACCCAGTTCCAGATCAGCATGACATATGGTGAGGGGCTTATGGACCTGGGGCCCCCAGGCGTGGGGGTCAGCCTGGCCTCCACTTGCCTGCCTCTTCTGGGATTCTGGGCCCTAGTGCCCTTCAGATCCCAACCTCTAGCACTGGGAGGGGCAGCGGTAGATATGAGTCCAAGAGTGTCTGGGCCACAGTAAACTCATTTATAGTCTTTATTGTAAAGAAGTTGCAGTTGGAACATGGGACACTGAAATTACACAATCACGGATTGTTCTTTCAGAGGAAGAAGGAAAAGATCCATATATACAAAAATTGTAAACATGTTCACTTAAATATCCACATATAATTGACCTATGCTACAATGTTCAGGGTTGTCACTCAACTGCAACTCCAGAGAGAGGTGTCTGTCTGTAAGAATGAAATGTGGCAACTGCATTTGGTACTGACATAATATGAAAAGCCAGCTTGGAGAAACGCATGAGTGGTCAGCTATGCAGAGGGACCTTAACGTTGGACTGGATCTTAAACCAGGGTGCAGGATGAGGAGTTGAGGGATTGGTCTAGGAAGCCAAGGTAAAGGGGTTTACACGGAATGGCTGTCTCCCGGGCACCGTGGGCAGATAGAGCCTTTCTCTTCGCATGGGGCTTGTCTTGCCAGGCACACAAGTGTCCTAAGCCTCTGTTGGTATTATTGAAGGGCTGGTGCTCAGGCCTATGGCCAGGTTGTGCCTTCCTAGCCAGAACTGCCCACAACTGGGCAGGGACCTGGGCCAAGGCATGGAGGGGCTGGAAAAGGGGCCAAAGACAGAAGGGTTGCTTGTGGGGAACTACCAGGTGAAAACTGAAGACTTGATCACAATCACAACATTGACAGGGCCAGGCTACTCTAGCGGCAGGTGAGAGGAAATGGAAGGAGGCTCCAGACAGAGCACATACCCCTACAGGGTGAACCATCATGATAGGAACAAGGACTGCCACTACCCATGGGAACATGGGATGGGAACAGTGGCCATACTCCCTGGGCCACAGCATGGGGATGGGAGCAGCCCCTACATCTGACTATGGAGGGGCAGCTGGATCCCTGACTGGAGTGAACAGGTGAGCCTGGAGCTGGCTGCCTTATGAGGGGAATGGCCCCCTGCCCAGGCTGGTCCACTAGAGGCTGGAGGACACATGTCCAGGTCTGTGCTGTTCCTTCCTCAAGAACTCAGACCTGGGGCTATGGACTAAAGGTATAGGGAGGACTTGGGAGTACAGCCCAGGCACTCTGGAGGCTACCCTCTCTTGGCTCCAGATGGCCCATAGTGGCCACCCCTCCATTCCTGGCACTGGGCCAGGAAGACCTGGGGGAGGTCACAGAAAGCCTTGGTCCTGCACTAGTGGGGCAGCCTTCCAGCCCTGGTCCGAGCCTGTGGGCCATTAGTAGGCGGGCACTTGGTACCCTTTGGGGCTGGTGTCCAGGGTCTCGGTGAAGGGCGGGCTCTGGTAGGTCTCGGTGCCCTCCACGCCGCTGCCCACCGGGTAGCCAGGGTAGGCCTGGCCTGCCCCGGTGCCCAGCTGTTCGGTGGCAAAGAGAGACATGTCGGTGCCCAGGCGAAACCGCTGCAGGGCCTTCACGGTGAGCGCCACCTGAGGGGGAACCCGGAGTCATTCAGAGCCGACCCTGCCCCGGCCCTAGCCTGGCTGGGCCTGGTCGTCACTGGCCGCATGCTGCACTCACCCAGCTGAAGATAGAAAAGAAGCTGAAGGCGATGGCGGCCCGCGCTGCGTCTCCCGCTTGCTTGGTGCCGGGTCCGGGTGCCGTGCGCTGCCATTGATTGGTGAGGAAGCAGAAGCCCACGAACCACAAGAAAGACCAGAGCCCTGCGGGAGAGCGGGTGGGCGGGTGAAGGGCGCTCCACCCGAGGGCTCCGCCCAAACACACCGGAAACAGGCGTCTATACGCATGGAGGCCCCACCCACCGCCAGGCCCCGCCCGTACCCCGCTCGTACCTGTTCCTGCCCCACTCACCACAGAATCAAGACGTTCTCCCTCTGGCCCCGCCCCTTAAAGTCCCCACACGCTCACCCGAGAAGTCCCGCGCGCTTCCCTCCAGGGTCCCGCTTTCTCGGCCCGGCCACGCCCACCTGAGAAGCCCAGGTCCAGCAGTACCGCGCGACGGCGGTCGCGGACGCTGCTGATCTGCTGGAAGCGCACATCGAGCAGAAGGAAGGCGGCGCAGGCGAGAAAGGCCCCGAGGCCGAGCGCGACACCAAAGCGACAGGCACCCGTGTTTCCATTGAAGACGCAGCGCAGCTCTGGGCCGCTGTCTGAGTTCACATAGCCCTCGTTGACTATGGGCCCGAAGACGGCGATGGAGAACACCTGCGGGCAGCAGGTGGCACTCAGGGCCTGGCGGTGATACCCCTCCTTTGCCGAGGGCCGAGGTCTCCGTGGCCCACCGCGAGCGGCCACGCCCTCGGGCCTATCCCTGTGTTCCCTTGCAGCACGAAGCCAGTCTTTGGATGAAGGTCTTCGGACACTCCCTCCCTCAGGTATTTAGTAATTATGGATAACATGTACCATTTAGTGAGCATCTCCTATGCCCAGGCAGAAGGAAGGTGCTTAAAAACGCTACTTTACATATGTTTTTCGCTCATAGAATCCTCCCAGAAAACCACGAAGGTGCCATTGTTCTTATCCCCTTTACAGCTGGGGAAATTAGGGCTCCAACAGGTGATTTGTCCGAAGCCACACTGCTGATAAGAGCTGAGGCTGACATTCAAGCTGGGTCATCTGCATCATGTGGGGCCCGTAGTGTCTCCTCACCGCCCACTGGATAGTACGGTAACAGGAGCCTTCAACTGGACCCAGTGATTCTAGGCTTGAGCCAAAGGATCTGGGGAAGGTAGATGTGGAACCAGCAGGGAGAGAAAGGCCCGGACACACTGGAAGGTAGGGGGCGCAACAGAGGGACAGCTACATAGAGCTGAGGACTAGGTAGGCCCTGTGTGGAACCCACCCTCAGCATCTGTGAGCTAGGCTGCCCTATTTCCCAGCATTTCAAATGTAGTAACAGGCACAGCTCATGGGATGTTGGGGACTGAGAAAAATATCCCACCCAGCGTCCTACACTTGGTGGGCATTCAAGGATGATGACCCCATGTGACTGTGATTAATTATTAATATCACCCATAAGTGTTTGGGTTCAAAAGGTGACACGATTGACCTCTAGGGTTCAGTCAAACCTCAGCACCCTGTTCCCACCAGGGCTGGAAGGTAGGTAGGAGGTGGACCATTTTACACCAGATGCTGATCTTTTAGCTCTGGGTAGCTTTATGTTTCTAAAAAAAGACCTCCAGTTTCAACTTCATTTTTCTCCTTTCCCTCTCTAGCTCCTACAGATCTACCCAAGAGGGAAAGCGAGGCACAGGATATGGATTCATACCCCTAGAGTGGCCCACAAGTCAGACCATAGCTGGAACCAGAACATAGGGATCTTACATCCCTCTGGCCAGTCATTCCACACAGAAGGGGGAGGCCCACTGCCCCACCCTGGGCACTGCTCTACTGGAAGACCAGCAAGTAGATGCAGCTGCCATCAGCTGCTGCTGCTGCTGGACAAAACCCAAGATTCAGCACCCCACCTCCCCATCTCTCCTGCCTGGAGGGGTGGAAAGGAGGAACAGGCCACAGGGCCTAGGGATGCCCCTGTAGGCTAAGCTGCCCCCAAATCTGCCCCTCCCACACCACCTCCAGGAAGCCCTCCCAGAGAAGACCCCCTTCTGGCTGCCTCACCCAGAAGAATCCCAGAATATTCCCCCAACTCACAGTTGCAACTGGGGACCTGGGAAGGGCCAGCTCCCTTCGAAGGAGCCTGAAGGATGTGTGTGTGGGAGAAGCACGGGGAAACCGCCTGATCCTCTGGGCTCCTGTAGCCCCCTCCTTGGGTAGAGGCTGAGTGGCCGAGCCCCTCCGTGAATCCCATCCCCACTCCTGTACCTGCTTCTAGATCGTGAGGACAGGAAAATCGAGGTGAGGGCTGAGAAAGAGAAGTTAGACCTAAGGAGGAATTGGGGGTGGGGGGCGGCCGGTGGTGACCTCTCAAGGTCCCAGGCTGTCGCCGCCGGCCCCTCCCCCGCCCGCAGGTGGGCGCGCCCAGCCGG